CTTAGGAACACTGAGGCAAAGAACTCGTTGAGAAGTTCAGCCTTGTCCCCCCTGTCCATCACCAATTGCTTCTGCCCATTTAGCAGGGGTCCTATTCCTCCCTGGGCCTTCCTTTTACTCCCTATATATCTAAAAAACAATTTCTTGTTATCCTTTACTTGGGATGCCATCCTCAGCTCCATGGTAGCTGATTCGATCCCTTCCCATTAGTGAGTTTACTTTACCCCATAATTTTGTGTCATCTGCATTTGGACAGTGCATCTCCACACCCTCATCCAAGTCCCTGATAAAGACATTGAATAGCACAGGTTCAAGGACCAAGCCTTGGGGGACCCCACTGCCCACATCTTTCTAAGTCAGTACGACCCATCCGCCACCACTCTCTGGGTGTGACCCTTAAGCCAATTTGCCACCCACCTGACCGTGTAATCATCGATGTCACAGCTGCTCACTTTCTCTGTGAGAACAGGATGAGATACTGTATCAAAGGCCTTCTTAAAATCTAAGTAAATGACATCTACCTTGACTCCTGCATCTAAGGATTTTGTGACCTGGTCATAAAAAGAAACAAGGTTAGTTGGGTAGGATCTACCTACTATGAACCTGTGCTGGTTGCCCGTCAGCATTATTTTTCCTGCTGGTCTCCCACAAATGTGATCCTTGATAATTTTTTCAAAGGTTTTCCCAAGGATAGAGGTGAGACTAACTGGCCTATAATTACCCGGATCCTTCCTCCCCTTCTTGAAAATAGGGACCACACTGGCCCTTTTCCAGTCCTCTGGGACCTGACCTGAGTACCATGAGTGCTCAAACAGCCATGCCAGTGGCTCTGCTATGACACTGGCCAATTCCTTCAGCACCCTTGAATGAAGATCATCGGGGCGTGCTGACTTAAACACATCCAGTCCCTCCAAGTGTCCCTTTACTAGGTCGACGTTGACCATTGGTGGGCTGGTGTCCCTCCTGCGTGCATCTATAATGCAACTGGGAGATTTGTCTTGATTCGTGTTCAGGAATACAAAGGCAAAAAACTCATTGAAGAGTTCTGCCTTGTCTCCTATTTATCACCAGTTGCTGTAGCCTGTCCTGTAGGGGTCCTGTGTTTACCCTGCACCCTCTTTTTGCTCCCTATATACCTGAAGAAGGTTTTGCTTTTCTTAATTGGCTGGTCTGTGTAAACTCATCTCCAGGCAGTCTTCCAGGGCAGTTTAGCTTGAGTCTCTTCTGTGAAGATCATCTTTGTGTATACAGTTGTATAAACTGTATTGCTGTCCTGAATCCCCTCCCCTAACCCTCCCAACAGTACGTGACGGATAGGAACATAGGACTCAAAGGGACTTCCTGGATCACTAAGTCCAGTCCCTTGCTACCGTAGGCAATCATGTTGTATAATCCCTTTTACAAACCTATATCCATGGTGTAAATAAAAATGTTGAGAGTCTGCATATTCAGGTAACTTATTGTTAGTACAGTATATGAGAAGATATCGATATTGTGGTATATTTGAAAAATAATCAGACACTTTACTTTCCCTTTAAAGCTTATTCATTAACTAGACTGGAGGTGCTGCAAATATCAGATAATGACAAAGGCAGTACTCTTAAGACCTCTTAATATTTGTCTTTCATTTTATGGTGTTCATTATCTATTTGCATTTTAATGTCAGTGGAGCATGAAAGGAGAAAGAAAGAATAGTGCCTGTTGTTATCTCCAGCTTCCTCTCAAGATATAATTACTTGAATGTACTTTTACTGCAGACACCACCCTTTAGAAATATGGTACTCTTATTTATTGAACCATTTCTGATACTTTTATTTCCTGTAAAAAATTCTGTATTTACTGTAAAGAAATTCCCAGCTACTGGTATCTAATAATGATTGGTAAATAGACATACTTGCTTAGATATCTTAGACAGAGCAGACTTACATTATACAAATAGTGAATTAAGCCCCTTTCTCTTGCTTACTGGCATGGAAAACCCAATTTCAGTCTGTTAAAAATGGCCAGGAACCTAACATGTCAGCTGTTCGGTGTTAACTGAAACTAAACTCTGGTTGCTTAGTCCCATGTCATTGATGGCTGATGCCCTGGTTTAATTTTCCTGTACCTTGAGGTAAGAGTGAGTATATGAACAGTTAATATGGAGCAGCTGACGTGAAGTAAGTTCCCCACTCACTTTCAACTCATTGTATCTTGTTCCTTTGTCCATAATTTCTGCATTTATATGGTTCATAGGATGGGGGAGCTGGAGTTTCTAAGTGATGCAGTAATACATATAATCGTCACAGTAATCACAATAATTTTCCAATGGACTCAGTTAACTGTAACTGCATGTCACATCCTCTCTTCAGTCTTTTAAATAGAACTAGTATAAATTATGTCCCTAAGGTTGCATTGTAAGAGGGAACAAGCAGTTGATAAGAACAGTAGCCTTGTTACACAGCTTGGGATGCCATTCTTACTAGGCAGTGTTGCTTCTTAGTTATTATAAAGGCAGGCTGAATTCTGAATAAAATGAAGATGATGTGGCCTGGTACTTGTCCAGGCATATCTCCTTCAGTGAAATCCATACAGCTGCAGTGTGCCAACACACTGAATGTCCTTTGTTTCTTATACTTTTGGCTTGTTTTTCTCTTCTGCCCATCTCCCAGGTTGATGAAAAAACCACAGGAGAGCCTGGTTGGCTTTATGGGAGCATTCAAGGACGTTTTGGCTGGTTTCCTTGCAACTATGTAGAAAAAATACTAGAAGGGGAAAAAGCTTTATCTCCTAAGAAGGCCTTACTTCCTCCTACAGTATCTTTATCTACTACCTCAGCTCCTGCAGAGTAAGTTTGGGCTATGTGTTAAATTGTCATCTCGGATTTTGGATTTCATATATTATGCTGTATTAAAGCATTGCGTAAATTAAATGCAGAAAACTTAATACGGAAACTGTATGGGGGGGAGGGTCTTAAAAGATGCATGTTCACCTTTTGATATTCTGAGTTGCATTGTATACCATATCCATTTTGCATATGTAAGAAGAAATAGTAATTCTAGCTGATATACTTTTTAAGAAGGATTATCTGTTTCTAAACAAGCCTGTGCTAAAATTTCAGACCACTTTCACCCAATAAATCAGCAGAGGAATCTGATTACCAAAACGTATCTTTTTCAAGCCTAAATGTTAACACAACCTGGCAGAAGAAATCCGCTTTTACTCGTACTGTATCCCCAGGATCTGTTTCACCCATTCATGGACAGGTACATTGTATGAGAGTAGAGTTGGAGAATTTGATGTTGTTTAATTTGGTGTGAATAAAGCTAATATACTGTTGTTTAAAGGATTTATGCTTTTTCTAGTCTCTTATTTAAAAAATCTAGAAAAGACACTAGGGCAAATCCTCAGGTGGTGGGAATATGCATAACTCCACTATAATCTGGGAAGCTGTATTAATTTATGTCGCACAGGAATTTGGCCCTTAACCTTTTTCTTTCTCTCTTCTTTACACTAT